GTGATTCGGTGCTCGAGAATGCTTCAGTAAATATATATATATATATATATATACCGAAAAATATTAACTGTTTTGGGAGGAGAGTGACTTTGAATCCTCACAATTTCGCGAGAATCGGTTAATGAGAACGTGTTCCTTTGCGCGGAGGATTCAGCAGGGCGCACTTGCCGTTTATCTCGTTAAAAGAAGAATTGCCCGTGGCTTTGTGTTTTCGTCCATACCGCCCCTTAAGAGTTCCACCGTCTTTGAATTTCAAATGCGAGTAACGATAATACTTGGCCTTTTGTCGCGGCCAGTTTGAATAACCATTATTTTCCAGCCAGCAACCGTGACCCGTTTCCATTCTCTTCGTAACAGACGTCGAAAACGTCTATTATCTAATCCTGCTGACCTCTGACCCTTCGCTGTTTACCTCTCCGTCCTCGGGAAATTTTTACTCGGCCATTATTCGACGTAGTTCGAGCTACGATTCAACGACGTTGTTGTACGTTCGTCCATGACGAGCGTTGAAGAGTTGAAAACTCGGTTGAAAATTCTGTAGGATGATCTTTCGGATAGTGATGCGCAAAATATGACAGATCGAATGTCTTCGGAACATGTCAAAGAAACTTAAGACGAGACTTTCCGCCAAGCTGCAGTTCTGTTCTGCAAACAGTGTAACAATGAAATTTATACCTGGCTTATATAATTTACTTTATTTAATTAATTTAAACTTTGAGTAAATTAAAATTTTGAAATTGAAAAAATGTATAACCCGTTTTAGTGCCACGTCGATTAGTGGCCGCATGGCGCTTTCTTAACGTGTCTGATATGATTGCAAAAAAATGTCAAGCAGCGTGATTCAAGCACCATTGTTGGATTAAAGAAACAATACTTATATGTATAAAAGGAGGTTTATTCTACGTTGCAATCGTGGTTAAGAATGACATGCAAGGTTTCCTGATGCAAAAAAAGAGTGCTCTTCTCTTCTTAGCGCGCCTTTTTACAGCTCGTCTATGGCAAATGGAAGGGAGTATGAAAGAAGCGTATTGTTTCACGCAATGAAAGAACAGAAGTCTTCTCAAATAAATAGCTTCGTCAACGCGAACGTGTGTCGTAAATCCCCCTAACTTTCTGATTCTAGAAGAATAACTTTTCCGTACGTGTGGCTAGAGAAAACGCCACAAGGGAAGTAACTTTTTGGAGTAATCGCGGGTAAACTGGACTGGACGTAGCCTGGGCGCCGAGTATCGGGCCTGGAATGAATTTATATTCCGCTCGTTCGCCGATCCCTTCCAGGAACAATAAAGATAACTTCGATCGGGCACGACTGCCGCCATTTTAGCCGAGGCATTTAACAGGTAATAATCGACAACAAACTCGATCGATCGCGAAGTAAGAAGCGTGAGGAGAGAAAGAGGTGCAAGAGAGGTCCCGAGTGATGGAAAAAGTCGAGCGCGGAACGAAAAGCGAGAAGAGAGAAGAGGAGAGAGAGAGAGGCCGTTCGGTGAACCGTCAGATAAGCTAACAAATGTCTCCAATGAATAATAATAAGTGGCCCGGTCCAATTTGTATTGCATTTACATCGGGCGACGTCCCGCGCGTAATTTATATTGGCCGGGGCCCCCGAGTCCTCGTCCCTGAGTGCGAGTGCCCTGTTTCGCCCTGTTTCGTTTCTTCGTTTCCTCACCGGCTGTTAGATAACATCGAATTAAGCCCCCGTTTCCCGTCCCGGCGATTTTTATGCGCGCCAACGCGCCACCGGCTACCACGAATTCCACGGCCAGATCGTACCGATTATGGCTGAATGAAGACGGTGTCGGTGGTGAATGATGCATCGGTGCGGAAAGGGACGTGACAGTGTGTTGCTCTTCAGGTGTTAGGCTTGAAAATGCAGAATATTGCCTTCGTTGCCTGACATCTTTCGTAGACATAATTCTAATGGCTAGAATTATGAAGAATGGCCCGAACAGTATTTTAAATGTACACATCTGTATATATTTGAATATATTGTGAAAGTAGATGCGTATAAATTTAGAATGTAAAAGTTATAATTACAAACAGAGAATTGAAAAATAATTTAGAAACGATATTCTATGCAAAAATGCAGAACGCTATCATTTTGAATACATGATTAGTCTTAAATAGAGTCTATATTTAAAATATATTTAAAATATATATATATATATATATAT